GGTGAGCCTCGTGTCCTTGGTCACTTCCCTTTCAAAATCCAGGTTCTACGCAAATTTCCTTGAGACTTGTCCCAACACTTGGATACAAGGTGGGTATCCAGGCGCAACATTAATTGTGTAGCCTTGGGAACGTGGCAACTCTCTAAAGCACAAGCTGTATTCGTGTGGGCAGTGGACGGCGAGTGCTTTTTATAACCACACGGGATAGCAGAAAATGTTCCAAGTCCAGACCTTGCCACATGAGAATGGACTCGTTGAGGCTTAGTGGCGATGCTCCTGGCAAGAACGTGTCGCTCGGGGATACCGTTAGCGGTTTCTTTCCGAAGGCAGTGTTTCTCTAGGGGGTGGACAATCCACTTTAAACAAAACCGCGGCCGGAGCGGATCCGGAATTTCTTAAGCTGGAGGAGCCCCAATACTCTTCTTGGGAGACTTCTTGGCCTTCTCTATCTAGGGAGTGCGAAGGAGACTTGGTCGATGCATTTCGACCTTTTTGGGTATTCCTTTACGCGCAGCACACGGTCTGGTTCTTAAATGCAGCCCCATTCACTCGGAATGGACAAGCGGAGAGTGAGGTCGGTGGGGCTTCTACTCCAAAACTTACAGCTGGAACACCCATCCAGTCTCGAGCGGAGGTGCGTCATCTATCATCTTGAGAATCAAAACATTTTAGGGTTCAGTGTAAATACAGGAAAGAATGTCAGAATGTTGTCAGAATAATGGAACAGATCTTTGATTAGATTTAGGCAACGTTTAGGAATCATCACTTTTGGTAATTCACCGACAATTCCAGTGTTTGTAATGTACAGTAAATTACGGCCTCGGGAATCGCCCACCTCGGATGTTGGCAGTGCGAGGTCAGACCTAGGTCTTAAAGTCGATTCACACATCAGTTACGTGTCAGTGTCGTGACGGCCCTTATTCCCCCTCTGTCGCTGGTCAGTGATTCATCCGTGCCTTGCAGTGGACGAGATTCGCCAAAGTAGCAATGTTTTCAGATGATGAACTTCTGATTATCGCACTGATTTTGGATGAAGACGAGGAACCATAAGCGAAAAAACGGAAGTGGGTCTATGAAGTAGGGAACAAGAGAGACAATTTGCTACACTTCACAAAGAATAAGTGGACGATGGAGAAAAATTTAGTTTACTGCATAACTTAAGACTTAAATTTCACAATAGATTAAGAAATTCGATATATGCATGTATTATTACGTAGCTTCCCAAGTGGATTCGAGGAGTGAAAGTCAAACACTACAAAATTTACATTTACAGGGAGGGGCAGATACATGTCGTGTACGAGAAATATTCACTGATTATTTCAATTCTGGTGCTGAATCTATCCCGTGGTTATCAAATACCCATCAACCTTAAAACAAGTTCTAATCATAGTTCATAATTTATTATACCCTGTTGATATTCATAATGTAAACATTACTGAAATATAAACATACTTTACTCACTGTTTTCATTTCTGCTCTTATTTTTATCCAGAGAATATTCATAAAATCTGAGTCCGTATATTTTGACATTGCTTGATCGAACAACAGAATTATTTGTATTAATTAATTATTATTAACTCAATGAGTTTTTCGTTATTCATGATGTATGGCCGTGAAACAAAATTATCGAAATCCGACGATCACGGTCCGGTGACAACGGCAGCACTGTTTTGGCACGGACACGGTCGCGCGCCGGACGAGTGTGAACAAAGCCATTCACTTTCCAAGTATAATATTTTCAAATACGTCGGTGTTACAAAATGCCTGTCATTTCTCGTCGGTAACTGACACGTCACTGATGTGTGTGAATCGATATTTATCCGTCCGGCCACCGTGGTCGGGATCCAAGGAGTATCAACAGGTATGTCATTTCAGCCCCCAACGCGATCAATCACTAAAGCCAAACCCATTTCTGGGCCACTCACTCACTCTTCAATACGTTCTTTCTTATTTACATACCATTCACTCAACTAGAGTTGTACACGATATTCCTCCATCCCCTCTCACAGTATTCACACCAATAAATACACTCACTTTCAACTCACGCTAGGGACATAAAGCTACCAGTATATTTTTATAATATAAGCTCTACAGTCATCAGCAGAGTTAAGCATACAAAACATAATCAAATAAAACACTAGAACGTTAAGAGTTCTTATATAAAAACAACAGAAAAGAACATTGGCATCTTCTTTTAAAAAGTATATAAAGAGTCTGATAAAAAATTACGTTCTGCTGTAATTGAGCATTCCAGGGAGGCGAAACGGCTAAGCTGGTAATGTCTTGCGTAACCGGTGCGATGTTGCTCTACAAAAAAAGTTTGAACACTTCTCAAAAGAGACTGCAGAAGAGAAGGTAATTAAGAGAGCCAACTTTAAAAAAAGTATCTAGTAGCCCTACGTTGAATACATCAGAAAAGTTTAATCTCAGTTTTAAAACATGAATCCAAGACAATAGTTGTATACTCAAGACGACTACGGAACAAAGACTGATATAACATTTTAAGAGCAAAGGAGTTACCCATGTCTGAAAACGTCTGATAAATTCTAACAGCCTTACTTCCAATCTTGGAAATGTGATCACAAAAATTGCATTTACTATTAAAAAGAATGGCTGTCATTTATTTCAGCTACTTCATCCAGAGGAAGACTGCTTATGTGGCAGATCAAGAAACACAGTCCTTCGGCTTAGAAGACGCATTGAATTTAATGCATTTGCATTTCGATTGATTGATATACAAATCACACCAGGTAAAGAAAGCATTTAAATCTAATTGAAAGAATTCACAAAACGCAATGGAAGAAACGTTGGAAAAGAAACTTTAGGACGTTTGTTAAAATAGAGTATTAAGATAACCGAAAAATCGATTATTTGTCGTAAAAAATACTTTGAAAAAGGTGAGAACAATGAGGGATCCCAAATAGAATTTGAGATAAAAATGAGATCGAACCAACACTCCTGTAAGCTCAAGCTTCCTGGGAAGAGTTGACCTTGTCGAAAGCCTTGGATATGTCAGTGTATATAGCATGAACTATGTGGCCCAACACGAGATTTTTTCAGCGCATTGTGGAAAAGACAATTTATTTCCTACCCATCATTTTATTACGGAACGACACAAAATCAGGATGGGCAACATAAAAGAAAAGTAAAGAAGCAAGTTGGTCGAAGTGGAGCGCCCCATGACAAATTGCTCAAGAATGACGATATGTTTAAAAGGACAGCAATAAAAGAGTCAAGAATCTTAGCAATAATGGAACATTTAGCGTCCTAGATGTAGCAACCATGTTTTCTTCAAGAATTGGAAGAGGATACGTGCTGCCGACAAGCACGATCCTCAAATCGGAGGGTATTCCTACACGCTCCCTATATGGAGCGAAGAAATTGTACCCTTCGACCACACATCGACCAACGTTTCTTTATATCCATTATATTGTACCAAATAACTTTTTTGAATAAATTAATCTTTATGTAAGGTATTGGTTGAAATGAAAAAGACAGTGTCATGAGCGACCTTCGGCTGGTGGTTCGAATCCCGCTTATGACACTGCATTTTTCATTTCAACCAATACCTTACATAAAGATTAATTGATTCAAAAAAGTTATTTAGTCAATCGGACCACGAACTCTAATGGATTTAATAAAGAAAAATGAAGTATATCTTCACTAATGCTCTCCGTGCCCATTTCATTTGTCGCCGAGAATCGAAGAGATTACACGACATTTGAAAAATTGCAAAAAGGAAAGAAAAAATAAATAAACTAATTAATCTTTATGTAAGGTATTGGTTGAAACGAAAAAGATAGTGCCACGAGCGGGATTCGAATCACCAGCCGAAGGTCGTGGGTTCGAATCCCGCTCGTGACACTGGCTTTTTTATTTCAACCAATACCTTACATAAAGATTAATTAGTTTCTTTATATGCCGATCACATATGCAGTTTTTTGAAAAATATTGAAATCAATTATTTATTTTCGTATAAGAACGTTCAAATATATTTATATTAAATAATATTATAAATATTATAAAAATATAATTTGCCTTGGCATATAAGAACACCTGATATTTTATTATAGCTTTCTTTTAATTTTGTCATATTTTACAAAAGCACTGCTGTAATTTAATAGCTTTTCGATTGAAAAAAATCAGACTTGCGAAAACCGAGCTTCCTTGTGAAAAATATAAATGATCAGCTTTATCAGAACTATTGGAACGAAATTTATTCAAAATTAATTTGTTCACCGTGACAAAACATCATTCCAGTGAGATGGAAAATTCTTATCTTCATTCAACTTTTAATTTCGCTTTTTGTCTTCCGTCTCAGTGGATCCTTCAGACGAATCAAACTGAATTCGAGCCGAAATTTTAAATTTAATCATTAAACGGATCATTTTCATTATGGCGTTACATTTCCGTGTTCAAAACCACTTCGTCTCTTCTCTGCAGGAGTGGTCTTTGGCCAGTGTCCGCTCGACCGCCGAGGGTCCGCTACTCAGCACTGCGTATCAAATATGGATTATTTATTAAAAATTTATCATGAGATCCAAGCACTCAGGTACGATTGAGTTACCGTCCCTCCCTAATTCATTTACTTCCCTGGCCATCCCTCCAAGGCACTATGTTGCCGTTGAAGCTATTTTTCAAGTATAATTTGCCTATTTTGATTAATTTTCCTATGTATACCTCAACCCTTTCCACTTTAAATTTCCGGCTTGTTGATTAACCCCTGTACCAATTAACACCGAGGAATTTCTGATGTTTCGATATGTTTAATTTCTATTAATTTTTTCCTCCTCTTATTTAACATAATACGTTTAATTTATTTTTATGCTATTACATTTAAATTAATGTATATATTTTTTTTCACCATTTCATTGTACCAAATTAAACGTATCACGGCTTTTTTGTTATTCAATGAATTCAAAGCCCCAATGGCGTTACATTGTCTTTCGAAATTTTTATGTCGAATAGGCGAACATGATTTAAATCAAAGTAAATTTACATAGATTCAGAACGCAACCTCTTTAATATTTTAATTTAACAGCTTGTTTAAAATAAGTTCTAGATGTTTCATCTATATTTTGTGTGTGTGCGTGCGTGCGTGTGCATGCGTGTGCGTGCGTGTGTGTGTGTTAATTATGACGGAGAGGGTCAGCCAGGAAGCGCGGCTCCAGAACTATTGGAATTGCCATTGTCGAAGACGATTCTGTCCGTCTCTTTGACGGTGATTGGACTTTGGCGAGCCATCCATTCCCTGACAATATCCAGTTGCGGTTTATCTGAAAGAAATGTCAAAAATACAACGAAACACATTTAAATAAAGGCCTTTGTGAAAGTAAGAAAGGGGAAAAATTTAATTTCCAAGGAAAACGAGTGTCGGTAATTGAATCGGGCTTTAGGCGAATTAAACACTGGGAAGCGGGGGAGCGATTGAATTGGACAAAAAAAACGTAAAAAGAAATATGGAAAACTTCCCAGCTTTGAGCTTCATTTAAAATACAACCCTTCCGTGCCTGCTAATTACACGGACCGCATAATTAAAAAAATTTTCTTCGTATTTTATAACGTCTAACTCACCGAAAAACTGAGTGTACTCGCCTTGGCTGAAGTTGTACCCGTCACCTCCTCTAAAGAGATAATCGGTAACGACCACATCGTAGAAGTTGTTCGACATAACTTCTTCAAACTGGCCTTTTCTACTCTTCACAAAAGCTTGGATTTTCTTCGTTTTGTTCTGGGGATATATAATTTTCATTTCTACAAATTAGGAACACTATTAGACTTCCAGACACTCCCACGACTTCTATAAGCTTACTCGATACTTGCAGAAATCCTCCCCGCGATAATTGATCGTATGAATGATTGAGCTGCTCAAGTAACATACTACCGACCACCCTGACTTGCACTAGTTGGGCAGGGAAAGGCAAAATTGTTGCCAAATCCCATAACAGCAATCTGCCTACAAAACAAAATCATAAACATTGGCATTGGGTTAAAAAACAAAGGGTGAAAAATTACCGTTTTCGAGAGTTGATTTATCGACTGAAGACCTGATGTTTCCTCCGTTAATCCACCCAATGGTCTCAAACTCTCTATTTTTATCTGTAGTTCGATTGTCAACCTTAAAAACAGAAATCGTTTAAATCTTCAAGTCTACTGGTAACACTTTCCGTCGTCGTATCGTTACCACTTACAAATTCAGCCGCAGCATCCGCAATTATATCTCCCAAATTGCACTCACTTTTCTTGCAAGATCCATTCAGATCTACTTCTGTTATGCAGACCAGCTCTTTGTAAATTGCGCTCATGTTCTTTTTAAACTCTTCCAAGAGGTGCGTCACATTCTCACCTGAAATCCGATTATTTAGAACGCCAGGTTATCTGTTTACTCTCTAAACGCTTACACTTTGCTAGATTCGCCGTCATGAGAACTGGGTTTCCGGTCGCGTTGATCAGTTTGTTAGTCTTGTCGTCAAAGCTAAGATTCAGTACTCCGACGTACTTTGTGTAGCCGTACGCCTGAACGGCCGGCACTAGCTTTCCGGAAGACTGCTTTACCAGGGTCGGATAAGGGCCCTCTGGCTTTTCCCTGCTAGGGGGAGTACCTATCAATACAAGCCAATTGGATTTAGAAATATTTTTTGTTTAACTTTAACGGTTGTAAACCTGTGTAAAGAAAAGTATCCGTATGCCCTCCGACGACGACGTCCACTTCTTCCACTTTTTCCGCTATTTCGAGATCTTTAGTCCAACCGGAGTGGCCGACTGCGATCACGACATGTACACCTTCTTTCTTTAATTTCTGCGCTTCTTTTCTAATGCATTCGACCTCGTCTGTTAGTATAACATTGCCGACTGTTGCTATCTCCTAGAGAAAGAACTTTTAGAAGAAGACAATAGCAACTTTCAGGTCATTCACCTTGGTGGCGGGAAGGAGGTAACCGACGACGCCAACTTTAACATCCCCGACAGGTATAACTATAGATTTGTTTAGCTTTGCATTGGCAAAGTCCTGCTCGTTAGAACCGTCCACGTTACAAGTCACGACAGGAGTCATCACTCTGTCAAGATAATCCCTCAGGACTCTGGGCCCTCGATCAAACTCGTGGTTTCCAAGACTCTGTTAGCAGAAATTAATTGCTGTTAAATTAACTTAGGGGATGTATTTTTGAAAAGTAGTTTCATCCATGTTTTCTCATATTATCACATTTCAAATATTAATTTTGAGTTATAAGGTAAAACCTAATATTTGTTTTCGAAAACATGTTCATCTGTTATTAGTTATGACGATATGCAATGTTTTTTCATCGTTATCATAATAATCCTTAATTTTAGGATAGTTAGTTTATGTTTTCATGTTTGCATATTATATTTCTCTATGTTGATCCACCGAAAATTCATCAGTTAAAGTTCTGTTGTAATTACTCAATTTATTATGCATAATTTTTTTCTAAATGAAAAATCTGTGTCACAGACGGGATTCGAACCTACAACTAATGACACAAGCATCCCATTTCGACCCCTCGTTTTATTCTAATTGTAAGCAAATCACGGCTTCGGATAGAAAAACTTGTATTAAAGATTGAAACCGCGATTTTTTTACAATTGGAATAAAATGGAAGTTTGTGGCATGGGCGATCGAAGTCATGGTGGCTCAAGTGGTAGAGCAGCGGCGTACTTAGCGGAAAGTCGTAGGTTCGAATCCCGCCTGTGACAAATTTTTTATTTCGAAAAAAAATTTTGTTTAATTAATTGAGTAATTATATAATTAAAAATAAGCTGATAAAAATAATTAAAAAGTTATTTTTTAATGATGTTTAAAATAGTATAGATACAATAATTCCCAATATAGCTTACAGCTTGTCTTAGTATACTCCCGCCTGTGACAAATTTTTCATTTCGAAAAAAATTTTGTTTAATTAATTGAGTAATTATATAATTAAAAATAAGCTGATAAAAATAATTAAAAAGTTATTTTTTAATGATGTTTAAAATAGTATAGATACAATAATTCCCAATATAGCTTACAGCTTGTCTTAGTATACTCCCGCCTGTGACAAATTTTTCATTTCGAAAAAAATTTTGTTTAATTAATTGAGTAATTATATAATTAAAAATAAGCTGATAAAAATAATTAAAAAGTTATTTTTTAATGATGTTTAAAATAGTATAGATACAATAATTCCCAATATAGCTTACAGCTTGTCTTAGTATACAATAAAACAATGAATAATTTCGTCTCCTGTTCCGCTTCTTAAGAGAAACGAGGGTGGTTCCTGGCTGTGTATATACTGTGCGGTGTTTACGTGTAAATGTGCGTATATTCAAATGTATAAGTGTTTAGGGTGTGTAAGTAGAATGTAATTGAAAACGCAAGAAACGCCGATCAACATTACGGCCGAACGATCCACGGATTATCGCCTTTATAGCTTAAACTTTTAGCCCTGACCTCACATTTATTCGAAAAATTATCAAAAGTATAAATTAATAATCGCGAGGATAAATAAGTAATTAAAATATGATTGCGTAGAATATGACATGATGCCGTTCCGTACTTTTCAGTACTTAAAAACCAGTAATTTTCAGTACTAATATTGTTGAGTTGTTCTTTTTATTTTTTTTTGTTATTGTAAAACGTGATTTCGCGCCTATAATTACCTACACAGAGAAATTCCTAAATATTCATATGTAGAAACTATATAATGTGTTCATCCGAAGAAAGAGGGAAATAGTCATTGAAAGAATACATACGGCGTAGCAAAAAACGACCAAAATATGTTTTGTTTGAGCAAAAGTGTAATTTTTTGCCCAGAATAAAGTTAATATCTACCGATCCCAACATGAACTTTGCAAGGATTTAATTTCACCTAAGGGTTGCTTTCGCACCATAACAGCCATAAATAAAGCTCAGACAGACGTTCCATTTTTTTTTCTCAAAACCCATTTTACTCGAGGCCAACTAGACGTTGCACTCAACAGACAATCAAGTTGAGGACGCTGAATCTGATTATGCTACAAATATGGTGTATCCGGAAGTACTTATTTAATATGATCAGAATATTATAATCTTGGGTATCTTTCCATGATTCCAACTATGTAAGAGGCTATTGCCCTAACAGGCCACTAGTTTGTATATCGAAGTTGAATGTCAATAAATGTTAGTTGGAACTAAAGGCTTTATTGACATTCAACATTTGATAATGGAGCTCCACCACAAAAGTACAACAAACCTTGAAAAATATCGTTAGTTTGTAAACCATAAAACTTTGGTGGTGGAATATCTCACGACATTACAAAAAAATTGTCCGAAATGGGTTTTTTCCTAAAAACCTGACGTACCATGGCGTCGATGTCGAGGGAGTCTATCATCGGCTGGAGGATCTCGGTGCCGAAAGCGACGAAAAGCGGCGTCCCTTGAAAGCTGTCGCCGGCGTTCAAAACGAGTGTGTTGTTTTTGCGGTGCGTCTTGACGAAGTGTGCGACACGTGCGAAACCTCCGAAGCACGGGTGGTTCTCCCTGCAGACGCCGGTCGTATCGCTGATCTCGTCGAAACGCGAGTGCAGGTCGTTCGTGTGGAAGATCTGCAGATCGAAGCCCAAGGCTGTACAAAAGAGTAGAAGAGCGAAAACACTCCAAACGGAAGACATCGTCGGAATGATTAGAGACCAGGAAGATTTCAAACGGCTTTCTCTTTTATCAGGTATAAGGACGCATGCGCCTTCACTCTAAAGCTCATTCCACCTGTTCTTTCCTCCTTTTCGTTTCAACGCTTTTCGCCACCTATTTTAAATTTAATCGTCAACACATCTCATTTCATAATAAAACTCAAAGTGTCAAAAACCCTTTTTCTTAAAACAACCCCTGGTCGCAATGGATCTGACGCAAAGCCAGCGAACCCAGACGGGTCAAGATTCCCATCCCATCTTCACGGGCAATCATCAAATTCCTATTCGAAAAACCATCGCCTTTTTTTAAACTAAGTTTTTATTCGTATAAATAGCAGTTGGCTCCTCATTATTGTAGTTCAAATACTGTTTTCTTTTTTCAAAATATATATTTTTTTTGTAAATCTTGCTCGGAATAAATGTCATAGACGAACAATTGTAATTAGCCTGTGTATTCGTTTAAAATCCGGTTAAAAATTAACGATATCAATCACAATTTAATTTAAAGTTTTTGGTATCTAATTCTGTTTTGGGGGCAGATTTTAATCTTTTGTTTAATAAATTGTTTTAATCTTTATTTAGTTCCATGTTTGTTAAGTTTATAGTTCTTGGGCTACCGATGAACCAAGGGATAGTAGTTTTTTTTAATCTAATTCTGTTTTGGGGACAAATTTCAAGCCTTTGTTTAATAAATTCTTTTCACCTTTATTTAGTTCCATGTTTGTTAAGTTTGTAGTTCTTGGGCTACCGATGAACCAAGGGATAGTAGTTTTTTTAATCTAATTCTGTTTTGGGGACAAATTTTAAGCCTTTGTTTAATAAATTTTTCTCTTCTTTATTTAGTTCCTTGTTTATTAAGTTTACAACCTTTGGGGTATAGATGAACGAAGAGATAGTAGTTTTTTTGTATATAATTCTGTTATTGGGACAAATTTTAAGCCTTTGTTTAATAAATTGTTTTCTACTTTATTTAGTTTTAGGTTTGTTAAGTTTATAAACTTTGGGCTACCGATGAACCAAGGGATAATAGTTTTTTTGAATTTAATTCTGTTTTTGGGACAAATTTTAAGCCTTTGTATAATAAATTATTTTCGTCTTTATTTAGTTCCGTGTTTGATAAGTTACTACCCTTGGGTTCGTTGCCTGTGAAGAAGACGGGGTGGAAATCTTGACCCGTCTTGGTACGCTGTTTGCGTCGTGTCAGAGGGGGTCGTTTTAAGAAAAAGCGTTTTTGACATGTTGGGTTTTATTACGAAAACCTCCCAAGGGTTGTAAACTTAACAAACATGGAACTAAATAAAGAAGAGAACAACTTATTAAACAAAGGCTTAAAATTTGTCCCAAAAACAGAATTAGATACAACAACAACAAAAATACTATCCGTTGGTTTAATTTAAATGTTACTTCAGTTTAATAGGACGATAACTTTCCCTACCAACGTCATGAAACGCTTCTGAATTAACCAAAATCAGCGAGTAAAGGCAGACCAGGATGATATGTTACTATCAAACAATAGGTTTTTAAGGACGCAGACCACAGTAGGGGAAACCTCACAATCTTCTGTGATTGTTCGAAATGAAAAGATTTTTAAAACTATTAAGCAATTCATTTTTTCTTATATTCTTTGTTGGCATGATATTAAACAAATTACTTATGGTAATTTTCCAAAAAATGGTCAAGTAGTTGCTTAAATAAAAGTAATTAATTCAAGGGGTTATTAAATAATTCGATCAATCAATACAGAGTGCGTTTGTAAAGAATTACATATTTATTATATATTGTACTTAAAAACAAATAATAAATTATGAAACATTGATTTCGGTTTTTTCAATTTTTTTTTAATGTAATTTAATATCTTCCATCATTAATTAAAATTGGATCACTTGGGTGGACATACAAACTGAACATAATTATATATTAAATTTTTGCATTATTAAAACTTAATTGATAGCAGATAATCCGTTATCCTTCTTCTCGTCAAATTAAAAATGGCAATATTCTTCATTTTAGATCAATTTTCAATTTGATAAGAATTATGCTTTAATAATGCTGGTAATACGTCTTCCTTAATCAAAATGACATCTTTTCTTCGAATAATTTGAATGACGTTTTAATTGTTTTCTTTTTAAAGATTTTTTATTACGCGTCTTTTGAAAATAACGAAACTCGATAGTCAAGCTCGGCATCAAATTCGGAATATCTTATTTACAGTACTCGAATTCTCACAATTCTTTCGTGACATGTAAATATGTATATGTATCAAATTACTGACAATTTAATATTCTATAATTCAATGTTTTAAATAAAAGACGTTACTTCTTTCGCTGATCCTGTCTAACATTTCTCCTTAGAAGTCCCTTTTTGTTCACACTTAAAGACTGAAAATTGTCCCAGTTTCTGTCGTTTTTATTAATTCATCATTTGCAACTTAGAAAGAAGAACATTCACTGGAAATGTGGTACTGCACAGTCTAATAACCAAGATATAAAAGCTGGAGCTCGACAAGGAAGAGTCCTAGAGCCTCTTTTTTTGTATATTGTGTAGTCATCGACTTTCCTAAATCGGATAATTTAGTTATAACCCAACATGCAGACAATTTTGCAGTCCTACGTATTGGTCCAAGAAACTCATCCTTGCAAAACATCACCATAGAAATCTCCGAAAGTTTTAAAAAGTAAAAAACGTACTTAAAAAGTTGTTGTAGAACCGAAGATGATAACCCGGGAAAGGGTAAAATAGTCCTTAACCAGGAGCCTGTCCGCTATCTAGGCCTCACTCTTGACTAAACTCATTTGGCGTGAACATATCAATGGCATAAAGAAACGCGCCAGATACCGAATTTTATGCTTAAAACCTGTAATCGGCCCAACTTCACCATTGCCACTACACCTTAAGATGCTCTTCTACTTAGCACCATCCGGACGATATGGTAATACAGCTGTGCAATAAGGTTCGCCAACAAACAACCAAAACTGTTTTTACGGCTAGCAAAAGAAGCCCAGTAGTATGTCAGGAATTCTACCCTTCATAATGACATGAAAATACCGGAAGTTGATCACGTCATTATTGCATGCTACACACGTCTTCCGCCTCATTGTTCTCGCTAATCAAACTCTCCAGCATATATCAAACAATCCTTCACCAAGGAACGAACGCTTAAAACGCTTAAAAATATAGAGACCTAGTGTTAAAAAACTTTTAAAAAATATATAATGTTTAAAAATAGACTAGAGACCTAATCACTTTTACATTGTATGTATCTATCGGATTTATAAATATTGTACCTATGATTTTTTTGAGCACTTAATTAATTGATTTTTTTATTCGTTTATTATGACAATTAATTAAGGTTTTTAGTTGAGATGAAAAAAAGTTAGTGGCACGAGCGGGATTCGAACCCACGATCTTTGGCTAGATACGCCGCTACTCTACCACTTGAGCTATCTTGACCTCGATCCACTCGGACATCAACTTCCTATCTCAACCCCACCTTATGAGTTTTCCCTCCTTTTGCCATTTTTCCGAGGGGATCGAGGTCACGATAGCTCAAGTGGTAGAGCAGCGGCGTATCTAGCCGAAGATCGTGGGTTCGAATCCCGCTCGTGCCATTAACTTTTTTTCATCTCAACTAAAAACCTTTATTAATTGTCATGTATTAATTGGTCAAGCGGACCACGAAAGTAGTGAATTAATGATTGAAAAAATGAAGTACACTTCACTAAAGCTCTCCGTCGCCATTTCAATTGTCGTCGAGAATCAAAACCGATTACACGACATTTGAAAAATGGCAAAATGAGGGAAAACTCATAAGGTGGGGTTGAGATAGGAAGTTGATGTCCGAGTGGATCGAGGTCACGATAGCGTGGTAGAGCAGCGGCGTATCTAGCCGAAGATCGTGGGTTCGAATCCCGCTCCTGCCATTAACTTTTTTTCATCTCAAGTAAAACCTTAATTAATTGTAATGTATTAATTGGTCAAGCGGACCACGAAAGTAGTGAATTCGTTTATTATTTTGCACGCCTATCTACTGCTTACAAAAGTGAAGTTCATTTTACTTATAAATAACAATTAATTCTGTGAGAAACATTAGTGAATATGATACCTCTATACAAATGTCGTGTTATTTTTGATCAAATACTTTTTGATTCAACAGTATTTTTATTATTTATTGTTTATGTACAAAACGTTATCGTCAATAAAGCGAGGAACGCACTTACCCGATGCAACGCTATGCGACGCTACCCGACCACGTTTTGGTAGGGTGTGCACATCTAAGCGACGTCAAACGCACGCCAGGAGTCACACAGCGTGTATCGCAATAATCACTATGACTGTCGCAACGCCTCTTTTGTTTTTAATGCACTGTTGTGAGCAAAACATTGTAATAAATCGTTGGTTAAGTTTGATGAGCACAACCATGTAACACATTGTTACTTAAATTTAATTGTTTTAAATAAAGTTATTCCGGTGTTTTTTCTGCCTAACCTAACCATTATAATTATATAATTTTTATAAAAACTCATGAATTTTTGATCTCGTTTAATTTGGTTTACATTAAAATAAGAATGTTGTAATTAATATACCGACAAAATTATTTATACATAGCTTAAAATAAACTAGAAAAATATGAGTGTCCTATTTTGACTCTACACGACAAAAGTGATGTAATTTTATGAGCAAACCCATGAAATAAAATGTTAGTTAAATTTTATGAGCAAAACTGAGTAATAAATTATTAATTAAATTTATTATATCAAAAAATGATATTCCGGTGTTTTGATCAATTTTCTACCAAACCATTAAAATTATTTTTTTAATAAAAACTGATGAATTTTTGATCTCGGTTAATTTGGTTTATATTGTCATAAGTATGTTGTAATTAATATTACGACAATAATACATGTAGTTTGAATAAAAATATGAGTGTCCGGTTCTTTTGTCTTCGACTGTACTCGATGCTACCCGACGAAAATCTAGAAAGTGGGGATCGCATGGCGTTGAGTAGGGTAGCGTTGCGTGGCATCGGGCAGATGTGCTCGGGGGTAATACAATCTGATGGAAAATTGGACTTTGGATTTGCGACGGGTAGCAACGGATAGCGTCGCGTAGCGTTGCATCGGGTAGGTGTGTTCCCCGCTTAAAAATTAAAAAAGGTGAACTTCTTGTCGTCCGTTTGATACTAAATACATACAATATTTCACATATTCCGCACATATAATTTTAAAGTCCCATAAACGGCAGAAATATTAGGAATTTACGCTAAGTTGTTCTTTATTTCATTTTGTTATAAAATGAATGTGATAGTGTTTTACAGGCATTAATTTTTCCTCTTCATTTGGCGCATGGTACGGAGACGAGGTGATGGGGTTTTAGTCAAAGCACTCAAGTGCGATTGAGTTTATTGCCCCTCCTTAATTCATTTACTTCCTTGGCCTCCTCACAAACCTGAATCTCGTTGGTTAAATTCGTTTGAAGTACAATTTTCCTGTTTTTGTTAAATTGAGATTGTTTAAATATCTATTTTTGGTGTCGCGGATCAAATCACATTATAAAACATTCTTCATATTATTCTCCATTAAAAATCCTTAGCTTAAGGCGGGATTAAGTTTGTTTATAATCCATTTTGATTTAGTGATCTAATTGACCAAATTATTTCTTTCAATTAATTAATATTTATGAAAGATATTGGTTGAGATAAAAAAGTTAGTGTCACGAGCGGGATTCGAACCCACGACCTTCGGCTAATACGCCGCTGCTATATCCGCTTGTGCTATCGTGGCTTCGAATCCTCCGTGGCACTAACTTTTTCATCTCAACCGACACCTTACATAAAAAGAATAATTAACTGAAAATTGTTTATAATTTTGTTTATTGTTAGTTATTGTTCATTATAAGCTGAGATAAGGCTGTTTGGAAAGAATCAACCACTCAATTAGCAGTAGGTAATTAAAAAATGCTTCTGTGTATGTACGCTTCCGAATATGTATTAGGACGTACTCTTTCCTATGGGTCTTTCTCAGCATCGACACTTATGACCACTAACGCAGCATCATCAACGGCCATGTTCGTCTCCCTCGTCTTATAGAGGATCAAACTTTCTTCCTTTCCTAAGGCACTTTTGAGGTGAACAGAAGTTTATTTGGTCGGGTCGACTGGGAAACAGTTTTTCCAGGGAAGGAGAGAGGAAGGGGAGGACCATTGATTATTTACTTTCTCCCTTTTCCCTTAGTAGCAAATTGGTTTTTGCCAGGAGCGAGGGCATATTGTGAAATGTGTTATCTCTGACAGAGTTTGGGCAAATCCTTTGAACGCGGGTGGGACGTGACACAGGAGATAAAACAACTCGGGTATTGTTGCGACCGCGGGCGATAGCACGCGGGACGACAATGCACGTAAAGGGGTGATCGTCCAGGGGGTCCGACCTGAGGAACGGCCCGTTCTTTTTACTTACCACCATAAACAATTCAATTTGAGGATTTTAGTAGTTGTCCGCAAAGTGCTTTGTCTCTGTAGCAAAGCAACGTCATTTCAAGCCCTCTCGAAAAAGATCTGGAATCGAATGTACATTTACAATCTGAGACGAGTTTGTTACGTACCTTGATGACTTTGATGATTTAACTCATCACTCCAAAAGAGCTCACTCCCGAGGCTGACTGACAGCTAGCAAAACATTTTTACGCAAAGGATTTCACGGTGAGTGGCAACAAAGGCTAAGTTAAAAGTAAAACAACTTTGTTCACTGCAATGCTCTCTGATTGACTTAAAAAAACATTGGATTTGCTTGATTATAGAACAGAGTAGATAATTTTTTTATCTAGGAAAAACGATGAGGTCTGAGGGTTAGTAGTGTAAAACAGACACGGTTAACAAACAAAAGGCGAAATGCTGCGTCTGGGTTTTGAAGGGAGTGATGAACTTATCACCCTGGTGAACTCATGGTTATATCCCTCGAGATGAATGTGTAAATGTTTATTTGTAATTTAATTTTATTATTTTTATGCAAAAATAAATTAGAAAAGAAAAATTAGTGTCAAGAGCGGGACTCGAACCCACGACCCCTGCACTTCAACCACTTGAACTATCGTGACTTCTGTCCTCTATACACCAACTGATCATGTCAGCCAAGAACTTTTGGATTTTGCATTTCCCTATTTTCTACTAATATTAAAAGTCAAACTGGTTCATATTTTTGAACTTAAATCGGTGTCTGAAAATGAGATCTTCTATTTATATAATGATTTGAAACCTAATAATTTAATTTATTTAATAATAACCTATGATGTAATATTTGCTTACAAATTCTTTTATTCGAAAAATTTAAACTTTTATAAATACTATTTTGATCCGTAATTCAAATCCTCTTTAGGGATTTTTTCCGTCAAAATTTACCAAAGCATTAGTCATTCCATTATTTAAAATTGGTTCTAAACTGTACATTAATAATTATGGATCAATTTATTTTGACTTTTTCCTTTTCGAGGGTACTAGAAAAGGTATTAGGACGAGGTTATTTAATTTTTTAATAAGTAATAATTATTCTTTCCATGTAAGGTCTTGGTTGAGATAAAAAAGTCAGTGTCACGAGCGGGATTCGAACCCACGACCTTCGGCTAAATACGCAGCTGCTCTACCAGTTGAGCTATTGTGACTTCGAGCCTGTCAGACACAAACTCCCCATCTCAACCTACAACCCTTCGAATTTTCCTTCTTTTTGCCATTTTGAAATATCGTGTAATCAGAATTGGATTCTCAGCGACATGGGGAGCTGTTTAGTGAAGTGAAACATTTTTTATTTATTAAATAAATATTAATCCATTTAGGTTTTAGTGGTCAATTGACCAAGTTACTTCTTTCAATTAATCAATCTTTCTATGTAAGGTCTTGGTTGAGGCAAAGGAGAGTTGGTGTCCGAGAGGATCGAAGTTACGATAGCTCAAGTGGTACAGTAGCGGCGTATTTAGCCGAAGGTCGTGGGTTCGAATCCCGCTCGTGGCACTGACTTATTTATCTCAACCAAGACCTTACCTAGAAAGAATAATTAATTGAAAGAAGTAACTTGGTCAATTGACCACTAAAACCTAAATGGATTAATAAGTAATAATACTACAGCAGAAAAATAATATGGCTTCTTACCAGGTAAATCAACTGAGTTGGCTTTGTTTGATGTCACAAATCATATTGTTAATGAACTAGATAGAAATAATTATGTTTTCGAGGTCTTTTTAAGCATAAATAAAACTCACTAATTTCGTGGTCCTCTTGACCAATTAATATATTACAATTAATTAAGGTTTTTAGTTGAGATAAAAATGGCTCGAGCGGGATCCGAACCCACGATCTTCGGCTAGATACGCCGCTGCTCTACCACTTGAGCTATCGCGATTTCGATCCATTCAGAATTAATTAATTGGTCAAGCGGACCACGAAATTAGTGAATTTGATGAATTAAAATGAAGTATACTTCACTAAAGCTCTCCGTGGCCATTTCATCCGATCCGATTACACGACATTTGAAAAATGGCAAAAAGGTGGGGTTGAGATGGGAAGTTGGTGTCCGTTTGGATCGAGGTCACGATAGCTCAAGTGGTAGAGCAGCGGCGTATTTAGCCGAAGATCGTGGGTTCGAATCCCGCTCGTGCCATTGACTTTTCTATCTCAACTAAAAACCTTAATTAATTATAAGTAAAACATTTGACTTAGTTTGACTTGTTTTTTTGCAAAAGATGTCTGATATGAGTATTTCTTGCGTACCATTGAAACTTTTAAGTTCTTTAAGTTTCTTACCTTTTATTCGAACTCAAGTTAATAAAGTTGTTTCTTCTATTACTGTTCCATCTAGTATTTTTCCTTGATTGCCACAAAGTTCAATTTTATGGCTAATTTTGTTTCTTATTTATGTGAACAATTAGTTGAATTTTTATTGATCTTGGTTTTTTTTAGTTATGCTGATGATACCAATTTGATTTTTTTTTGGTGGTGATATAAATAAAGAGTTCTGCATTCTTAGTTTTCCAATTGTTATCTTTTACTTCAAAACGTTTGTTTACTAATAAAAGAAAATGCTTTCGAGTTTTGCTAAATTTTATGTCTATAAATCACTAGAAATCAAATTATTGTGCACTGTCAAAATCTATTTGGTTTATGGAATTATCGCTTGGGGGTGGAACAATTTCCACGTTAAACCACTTATGGTCACCTAGAATACACTTATTAAAATAATTTTAATGAAAAACCACAGATTTAGAACTAAAATTTTATACTCAGAATTTAAGGTTATAAATTTAAATCAGCTGTTTATTTAATCTTCATGTTTATATTGTTGTAAACACAAATCATAACATTGAAATCACTTTCAATTCATGTTAGGAGAAGAAATCATATTTTGAATGTTTCTTTATTTAAAAGTAAATAATTTGATTTATTATAATTTTTCATTAAATGCTGTCCTTAGATTTTTATATAGATAACCATAAAATAAAAATTAATTATAAGTGTTCAAATTTTCTGATATTTAAAAACGTAATTTCTAAAACGATTGGTAATTTATTATTTTAGAATTACACTAAGGTTGGTTGTTGCAACAGTTTAGGTGTTGACACGGTGCTCATCTCTGTGAGACAAAGGCCCCGGGTTCGAATCCAACTCCCCAACATGGACTTTTTTCACCAACACTGGCACCCGAGGATTCATTTTATTTTAGTATTATCACATTGTGCTAGATGTTATTTTTGTTTTATTTTGTTAAGAGATTTTGTATAATTGATTTTTTTGGGGCTCTGAAAAGTCTCTACTGCCAAGCGCAAGTTATTCGCTTTATGATAGCAGGTTTAATAAAAGGATTTATTTATTTTAACTTAATAGCATTTTTAAATAAAAACGTTCTATATTTTCTTCTGTTGCATCTATGAATTACAAATGAAAATTTGTTGTGCAGTGGTGAGGCCTCCTCTTGCGGGGTTTGGGGAGAATTCCTCCGAAAATCATAGCGATGTGACTTTGACTTAGGGCCGATGCCAAAAATACAAAAAAGCACGCTACTTAGGATAGAACGGGCTACAATCGTCGTAGAAAACGATTGTGTCCATCTCCGTGACATTGATTGGTGCATTATTTTTCATCCACTCCTCTACAACATTCAGTGCAGGTTTATCTGAAATAAATAACAAAAATACAAACAAAACCCATCATAGAAAGTAAGAAAAATAAAAATGAAATTTTCAATGACAACAAGTGTGGGTAATCGAATCAAGCTCTAGGTGATAATTTTTTTTGATAATTTTTACAAAATATGGAAAACATTCTGGTGTTCAACTTGTAAAAACTCACCATGACGGCTAACTACATTTCGTGTAAAGACGTATAGAGTACAACTTACTGAATGTGTTAATTAATTCCCCTTTGCGGAAGTCATACCCGTCACCTGTATAGAGATAATCGGTGACAACCACATCGTACTTTTTTTTACAATCCACTTTTTCCATCTCACCGGTCTTTTTCAACACAAAAGCTTCAGCCGTCTTATTATTGTGGAAATAGGTGACTTTCATTTCTAAAAAATTAAAAAAAATTAAAAATGCAGAGACCCCATTCAACTGCAAGAACCTTACGGGACATTTGTAAAAACCCTCCTAGTGATATTTTATGGTAGGAGATGTTAAGAAAATCCATTAAAAGAGAACCGTTCATCCTTACTTGCATTAAATAGTTAGGATAAGGCAAAACGGTTGCCAAATCTCCAAAAGTAATTGTGTCTAAAACATAATGATACAGAAATTGGTGTCTGATAGAAAAAGTGAGCATGATACAGATTTATATGGTAGAGATGGGTGAAAAAGTTACTGTTTTCGAGCGATGATTTACTGAGGGAAGTCCTGATGTTTCCTCCGTTTACTAGACCAATCATTTTAAACTCGTCGCTAGTACTGTTGGACTCTTTTTCGACCTTAAAACCAAAAATAACGTTTCGGCTTTTAAGATAATTGCTGCTTAGAATTACGGATTGTCGTTTGATTTATTCTTACAAATTCAGATGTCGCTTTAGTAAAAATATTGCCCATGTTACACTCCTTACTTTTGCAAGAGCCATTCAGATCAACTAAAGTCTGGCAGACTGGTTGTTGGTAAATTTTGCTCAGTTTCTCTTTAAATTCCTCCAAAACTTTCGTCACATTCTCGTCTGAAATTGGTTGTTTAGACTGTCAGCTTATCTGTTTACTGTAAAGCGCTTACTCTTTTCCATATCCGCCGTAATGAGAACTGGGTTTCCGGACGCGTTGGTCAGTTTGTAAGTGTTGTCGTCAAAGCTAAGATTCAGTTCACCGACGTACTTTGTGTAGCCGAACGCCTGAACGGCCGGCACCTGCTTTCCCGATGACTGGTTTACAAGGGTCGGATAAGGCCCCTCTACCTTTTCTATGCTGGGGGGAGTACCTAGCAGTAAAGCCAATTGGAATTATAAATTATTTTTAGGTAACTTCGACGGATGTATACCTGTATAAAGAAAAGTGTCCGTATGCCCTCCGACGACGACGTCCACTTGTTCCACTTTTTTCGCTATTTCGAGATCTTTAGTCCAACCAGAGTGGCCGACTGCTATCACAATATTTACCTTTTCATCCTCCTTCAATTTCTTAGCTTGTTGCGTAATGCATTCGATCTCATCTGTTATCGTAATATTACCGACTCTGGACATCTCCTAAAAAATTTTTTTAGAAGACAAGACAATTGCAAATTTCACGGATTTACCTTGACTTCTTTAATGACGTAACCGACGATGCCCACTTTAACTTTCCCGACAGTTTTAACTATAGATTTTTTTAGCTTTGATTCGGCGAAGTCTGTGTCGCTAGAACCGTCCACGTTACAAGTCACGACAGGGGTCTTCACTTTGTCAATATATTCCTTTAGAACCTTGGGCCCTCGATCAAACTCGTGGTTTCCTAAACTCTGGAAAAAGAAATTTCACGGTATTGATTTGCTTTAGCTGTTTTATTGAATCTAATAATTTATGTTATTGTAAAATATTGCCTTGTTCATTTGTTCTTATCATATTCGAACACTTTGCATATAATACGGAAATATAAACATATCTCTGAGCAGCTGTTCATAGGTGTGTAGTAATGTTAAGACAACAAATGTGGAATGCACAGCAAATGAGTCATGACAAGTTCTTTCTGAATGCGAAAATACTTCCCTAAAAGATAACACAATGTCCCAAGATGAACCTGTTTCTATCATTCATTTTATGTTATAACATAAAATGGCGAAATTCACTAAGCAACGGATGTAATAAACAAACAGTCTCACTGCTGCTGAGTGAGGCCGTTTATTAACGATTGTTTATTAAGTTCTGCTATTTTTTTCACAAGGTATGGCATGCGTAAATTATCAGTAAAGTATGGGGATGCTATCAATTTAGGATATAGAGATTACTTCCTACTTACCTGGCAGACATTTCACAGTCAAACAAGAAGAGATTTGGGCCCCCAAGGGAGCCTAGGATATAGTATATTACTATATATAATTATATACAACTATAAAACAGCAATTTTTGGTAATGTGTTTCGTAAATTGTACCATTGTCAGTTTGTACAATACAACGATGATATCCATGGGTCGACCATCGATCATTATTCCTAAAACGTTTAAAAGCCTTGCAACCAAATAAATTATGAATCAATAATACATAGAATCAAGCTCAATCTACTCAAATCGGCACATGTAATTTTCACAAATATCAAATTGTAATTCATCTAACACCACGGATGTAGCAATCATCCTCCGTATATTGATATGGGTAAATATATGAGAAATATATTCTTATATATATAAGTATATTATTTAGAAGTAAAAGTTGAGACGGAAAGAGCACGAGAAAAGAAAGACTTTAAGCAAAGACAACTCACTATACTGGTTTACTAGGAGGCGACTTCATCCTTACAATAAAAAATAAAATTGGTATACAATAAAATATTAAAACCTATGTGAATATACGGAATAAAACGTTAAGTACTACCAAACCAAGTAACATAAAATAATAGAAAAACTCCAAAATAGTACTGTAATCTGAGTGATAGTGTCACGTTTTGAAAATCGAATAATCCAAATACCACTCATCCCAGTTGCAATCATACCCGAATTCTTATCCATACAAGACAAAACTCCTTCTGGCTAACTACTAGGAAAGTTATCCAAACAATACTAAGTGCCGTCTCCAATTACGGACCTGGTTCAGGACAAACGCAGAAAAGTGTCAGTTTCCTTCCGACCTCCTTTCTATGGTTTTTACTCATCATCCAGATCTGAATGTCACTTCACACTCAGATCATATCACTATATTTTTTAATCTCCCTCTCGCTCTACCTCCTAAGCCCATCCACCCTATAGACACACCCTATGTCTCAGATTTTCAATAACAACATAATTCCCAGTTAGCTAACAACTTATCCAATTAGATAATCAAATAATAAATATTTTCTGAAATTGGATTTTCTTCCCAAAAGCTTCTAGCCCTTTATCCTGAACGACTGTTTGAATGTTTTATAACGTACCATGGCGTCCATTTCGAGGAAGTTTACCATCTTCTCGACGATCTCGGAGCCGAAAGCGACGAAAAGCGGCGTCCCTTGAAAGCTGTCGCCGGCGTTCAAAATGAGGGTGTTGTTTTTGCGGTGCGACTTGAAGTAGTGTGCGATACGTGCGAAACCTCCGAAGCACTTCTGGTCCGCCTTGCAGTCACGGGTGTTCTCGTTGATCTCGCCGAAACGCGAGTGCAGGTCGTTCGTGTGTAAGATCTGCAGATCGAAGCCCAAGGCTGGACAAAAGAGTAGAAGAGCGAAAATACTCCAAACGGAAGACATCGTCGGAATGATTAGAGACCAGGAAGATTTCAAACGGCTTTTTCTATTATCATGACACGTGGCCGCCACCTTCAACTCGTTTTTCTTTACTTGTTTGTTTTGTGTTGTTGACAATGTCAAACACTTGTGTTAACATACTTTTACTTGTTGGGCCAACGATTTTAATTTGAAATTCATATCTCATTTCTTAATCTGAAATTTATCAAATTCTTATTCTTCCTATAAACTTTATTAATATTAATAATTGCGGCGGTATCTAACTGAATTTAAGGCTTAAAGTTACGAGCTTTGTATGGATTAAGATTTTCTCCTTAAAATTATTTCTATTCCTATTTTATGGTGGCCTTCAGAATTGAACCGTTTTCATCTTGGCTTTATTTTTTAAATACAATTTATCATTTTAACTTTTAACTATGTTCAAAGCAAGCATTTTCCAAGAAACCTAAGCCCGGAAAACTTTTCATTGAAATCCTTTGTTACGGATTGATTTATCGCCTAACAGTAAGCGAGCGACCAACTCCCAAGCACCTGTTTATTTCGGGGAATGAACGGAATTGCATAAGTTTTGAGGTAAAATACTGCCGAACAGACGTTTACCTCTTTAAAATGTATGCTTCGCGCGATGCCTTATTATCGATGGCTTATTCGGACTTACACCCCGAAGGGTCTCCCCCCGATGTGCTGACTTTAGTGTATCACCCATTTATGCGGTTTGGACGCTAGTATGCCCCTTAAACCCAATGCCCAGGAGATCGCCGCTTCCTTTCCAACGGGGTTAGGTTCCGACGGGGCTATCGACAGCTAGGTGATTTTAACCCCAAACCGATGCAAACTATAACCTACCCTAATACTAATTAAATTAGATAAGTCATTCGTACAAATAAATTCACTCGGTGAAGTACTGGATAATTCTCCATCGACCTACACACAATATTAATAATCTAACTTAAATTGGGGTCAATGGGGTACTTTTATAAATATTCCGCCATAGACCGTAAACACCCACATGCTGCTGGACAGAGTTGGGAAAAATCTAACTAATTCAATTATGTTTAAGAATTTTGATTGAAATTTAATCATGAGTAAATTAATCATAATATGATTTAGTCATGATTAATTCAATCATGAGGTATGACTAAATCATACAATCATTATTAAACTTCAATCAACATTCTTAATCATGATTGAATTAGTTAGATTTTGCCCAACTCTGGCTACAATGACTTACCACAATCAACAGACTCCGGATAAAAATTTTGATTCGAGAGTCGTGCTCAAGGCCAATTTTTTTTTTTTTTTAATTGGCCTTATGAACTTGCATATTAGCCATGGTACGAATTCTTGTGTGTTCAAATTGGGGGTTATCGGGAAAAAAGGGCCAGAGGCGACGGTGGGAATCGAACCCACGACCGCGGCGCGAGAGTCTCTCATGCTAACCACTCGGCTACCGCGGTGTAATTTTATTTTATTGTTATTATTATTATCATTATTTTTTGGTTTTTCATAACGACGTAGTTTTACTTATAATTGGAAGATTGATTTTTGTTAAATAAGGTGTTGAAGAAATAAATTTCTGTTAGAAAAATTTTTAAAAGAGATGAAGTTGTGTATTTTTCATTTTTTGAGCACCCATTTGAACATGATTTATCGAAATTTAGACATGACTAACTATATTGTGACTAAATTAGTCTTGCCTCGCATTTAATTACTAGTCATGACTAATTTAGCCATCAATCACATATGGTGACTAATGACTAAATTAGTCACTTACTACAATCATGACTAACGGTCTGTGTGATCAATCATTAATCGTTAGACATGACTAATTTTTGCCCAACCCTGCTGCTGGTGGGCCGATGGTGACGCTGATTTCACCATCACCCCTCCACTCACACTAATAAATGCACGTATTCGAACAAAACACATAGAATACAGGGTGGTCGGCTACTCGAGTTACAAATTTTTCTCGTAGATTCTACATTCAAAATGGAACCAAAGAGTCATCATTTGATTTTGTAAGATTTCACGACCTTGCTTCAAATAAACAATGATAACTCCAAAACTAAACTGTTTCGGACAAAACCGTTAATACAATTGAAAACTACGCTACATTTCTAATAATATGTGATCAATACTAAACTTGTAAACGTTCGTGAAATAAGTGTTTTAGTAGCGAGAACTTTGAAAAAAAAAATTTTCAAAGTTGAAAAACATTCTAAACTACTATTTCCAAACCTAGAGACCAGCAAATTTTATAAAACTCTATTTAATATCCTTTTTAGTGATGTTATTTCTTTTTTAATTATTTATTTTAAAGATGAAGAAATTGATGGAAGATGGCACCTTACAAATCCTTCAACCACGGTTTTTTTCTTTTCCTTGATCAATTTCTTCATCTTTGAAAAAAGTAATTAAAAAAGCAAGTAAAATAGTTTAGAATCACTATATTAAGTTTTTCAACTTTGAATTTCTTTTTCAAAATGTTCGCTACTAAAACACTTATTTCACAAATGTTTTCAAGTTTAGTACTGATCACATCTTATTGGAAATTTAACGCAGTTTTCAATGGTATCGACGGATTTGTCCAAAACCTTTTAGTTTTGGAGTTATCATTCTTTATTTGAAGCAAGGTCGTGAAATTTTAAAAATCAGAAAAAATGGAATAACTCCGAAACTGCTGAGATAAGGACCATAGTTAACTGACTTTTTGGTTCATTTTTGAATGTAGAATTTACTGGCAATGTTTGTAACACGACTAGCCACCCTGAACACCCTGTATAACTACACACAGTGAAAAAGTCATCTAAAAAATAGAACAGTGGACCAAGAAACCGACTGCTGTGCTCGACAACCATTTTTAAATCCGGCAGCATGCCTACACGCTCCCTGTATTGCTTCTGTTTTTGAAAATTCTCGAATAATATAATTAATAGATTTATACAGTTTTTTTTAATTTTACTATCTTCCATGAGTTGCATTTTAAAAATTATAAACATTCTTTTATCATTTAACATCATTTACCTGTTTATATTTACTGTATGCAGCACCCATAAAAATTCCAAAACCAAAATTTTCTGAGATTTATTCGATCAACTTGAAATTATTTTTGTGTCTAGCAGAAGAAAGCTACACTGAGAGGCAAAAGAAATTACCACATTTAATATTTTTAATTATCTCTTTGACAAACCTCGATTGATTATCTTATAAAACTACCCGGTCCGTTTTTTAGGATTAGAGGTAAATAAAACTCTGATAAAATGCTTACAATTGGATTTTGTAAATCAATCTTCGAATAGTCAATCTCTTCGTTGTGAGTTTTTCTTTACAGCTTTTTTTAAATTTTGTTTGAGCGATGGTTTTAAGAGATCAGATTCGGCTAGAATGTTGGAAGGGTCTTCCATCGCTACCACGATACTAGAGGTTACTGAAGAAGGCATGGATCAGGTCGCCATCGTGTCACATATCAGAGAGTTAATCTTTTTATTGTTTCGAATGTACTACGTAATCTAGATTATAGCGCTGTCGACATCAAACAACGACATCAACAAGTTAGAAATGTTAATGTTTATGCACTGTAAGGGGATGACTTCCAGAAGCTGGATTACATGAAAGAAGGCCTGCCACTGGTCCAAAACATCTGACAAGGCACAGAACTGCTCGGTTGTTCCGCAAGAAATCTCATCAAATGGTCTGAGAATGTTTGGACTAAAAGCTTGTTTTCGAATGAGTTAACGTTTCGTTTGAGGTCTTCAAAATTTTCAATCCAGAGAAACTATGGTGGTGGTGTTTTTGGTCAGGCATTTCTATCTAAGATCGCACAAACTTGACCTTCATCGAGGGTTCCCTAACAGCTGCGGGATACATTGAAGATGTGTGATCAGAAGAAGTTCCTTGTATGCCACTAATTACCGACCGTTTTTATTTTTATGTGTGACAATGCAAGGCTCCACACAGCTAGGATCGTTGGTGACCACCAGGAACGGCTTCAATTCAATGTTTAGAGTGAATGGCATGTAGTCCTGATTTAATCCTTATCGAACATCTTTGGGACGAGTTGTCAAAATTGGTAAAAAGTCTCCCAGTGGCACAGGAATGGCGCTGTTGAAAGAGTATGAAAATATTACACAACCCATTATATGTAGTGGTCTATTGACCAAATTACTTCTTACAATTAATTAATCTTTTTATATATGGTTTTGGTTGAAATGAAAAAGTTAGTGATACGGGCGGGATTCGAACCCAAGACCTTCGGCTAAATACGCCGCTGCTCTACCAGTTGAGCTGTCGTGACTTCGATCCACTCGGACACCAACTCTCCATCTCAACCTACAACCTTTCTAATTTTACCCCTATTCTGCCATTTCAAAAATTCGAAAGGTTGTAGGTTGAGATGGGGAGTTGGTGTCCGACAGGATGGAAGTCACGATAGCTCATGTGGTAGAGTAGCAGCGTATTTAGCCGAAGGTCATGGGTTCGAATCCCGCTCGTAGCACTGACTTTTTCATTTCAACCAAACTTTACATGAAAAGATTAATTAATATTACGCAACACTACATTCAGAACCTCGTAAAATCGGTGCCAAGTCGACTGCAAGCGGTGATCAAAGCAAGAGGAAGAAATACTGAATTGAATATTTTTTCATTGTTTCCATAGCATCGTTTTTGGTAAAATTTTACTCAGTTTAACTTTGTATTTAATTTGTATATTTAGCTATACCTTAAATTTTTATTTATAAATATTCAACAAACAACACACAATAAAAATTGTAACGATTGCAAATATTTACTATAAAAAAAACATGGGTGGCCACTTTTTTTGCCTCTTCGTGTAATTCAGAAATTTTAAGAATTTGCTTACTGAGTCGACAAAGCTTGTTTAACGCCATACTGGAAAAAAACGTTCCACCCGAAGAATTCCTTTGTAACGCACAGCGACCAGAAAAATTGGATTAATTATCTTTCATATGCACAGTCCGCGATTAACCCGATTCAATAGCATTCGGTCGGTTAACACAAAATGGATCAATAAAACGTTGGTCCCGGTTGAAACAAATTTGAAGCAAAACCTGGAATGAAATATTGCAGATAT